ACGTGGGCACGAGCAGTGTGTGGGCCCGGGGGCTCAGCGAGCAGGACTGGCTGTGGCTTTACTCTGGGCGGAGGAGCTTCTCAGAGAAGCCGCTTTGGCCTGGGGGCGATGAGGGTTGGTGTTTGTGCAGGGGGAGGGAAGTCAGGCTGGACGCTCAGGGCCAAGGCGGGTTGCGTCGAGGACGCGTGGCGCAAGGAGGAAACGTGGTGTGAGTCGAGAACGCGGCTGGGAATGTGTGTGGGAGTTTGCGTTTAGCGTTCTTCGCTGATTCGCAGCCTATGGTTGGGTGTGCGTCGTTGACTTTGTAGTAGTGTTGCGCTGGGGTTGGTGAGCTGAGGGGGGGGAGTGTGAGCCTTAACAAAGGGGTCTTCGCTTTTACGAAAGGGTTCCTTCCCTGCTCTCCCCTTTGCGTTCGAGCGTTTAGGCGGAGCCGGCCCCTCACTCTCCGGGTGGGCCTTCAGACTGGCACGAACGAGGGGCTGCTCTGGAGTAGAGTGAGGGAACTCGCACGGTGAGTGCCAGCGTGAACGGAGCTGGGTCATAGGAGTCTTTTTGCATTTTTAGGAAACTGCTGCCAGCACAGAGTGAGACTCACCTCGGTGCGCGGGCGTTCAGGTCCCAGCGTTTGGTGACCACGGGCTCGAGAGAGGCACTCACCCAGTGCTATCTGCGGCCGCACATTTTATATAGAACAGCTGTTTATTGAGGGTCTAGAGCTGTAGTGCTGTTCTACATCCTTCGTGTGTATGCTAACTCATTTATCCTCCTTACAATGACTCGGGCAGGAGTGTACTGTCGCCCCATTTTACAGAGGAGAAAACCAAGCCGGAAGTGCAGGTAACTGCGCAAGGTCCCACAGCAGGTACGGATTCAAACCCAGCAGTTTGGAACTCCGCCAAACTTTGGCTGTTTTGCTCTGTGTTGCCTCTTTTTTTTTTTTTTTTTTTTTTTTTTTGGAAGAGTCGTGGGCTTTGTGCCTGTAGGCCTGAGTGAGTGCCGTGTCGTCAGCCGTGAGCTCACAGCCAACCTCAACTCCTGAGCTCAGTGAGTCCTTCTGTCTCAGGCCTCCCAGTAGCTGGAACTACAGCCAGTGTGCACAATGCCCGCTGATTTGTTTGCTAGGTATCTATTACGTGGCAATTAGTTTCCTTTCGCTATTTATGAGTAGAGACGCGGTCTCGCTCTTGCTCAGCTGTTCGAACTGCGCGACCTCGTAGCAATCGCCCGCCCGCCTCGGCCTCCCAGAGAGCTAGGATTACAGGCGTGAGCCACCGCGCCCGGCCTTGTGTTGCCTCTCTTTAAGGTGGCACCTGTCTGATCGGCAGCAAGGGGAAGGACTTCCTCTCTGGGCCTCCATGGCCTCCTTTCAGATGGGGGTGGCCAGGCTCCCGTGCCCTGCCTCCCTCCAGAGGTTGTTTTACAGCTCTGCTGGGATGGAAGAGATAACCAAGTTTTATGAAGTGTAGAGTTTCTGAGAAGTGTTGCTGTGTGGTCTCAGCTGTCAACAGCACCCCGCATCCCGACACGCTAAGAGAAAAAAGACTGGAAGGAAACATTCACTCGTCCATTATAGACACACCACACGGAGGACCCAGTGGGTGCCAGGCGTGTCCCCAGCCCCGGTGACGGTGAGGAGAGC